TTCTACCGTCCACCACAGTAAGTCGCCTCAGCTACGCGGCAGTCAGCCGCCACATGGGCTCCAGTCATCCCTAGCCGCAGCTGCCGCCGCCACCGCCATGGAGTCTCATTCACCGACGTCTTTGCCGCTTCAGTCGCACCATCGACCATCGACCACGGCTTCAGCAGCCAAGGTGGAGCCATGGTTGCCCGACTCATCCCATCACCACGCTTCACCGCTTCGCTACCGTTGTCACGTTGTCGCTGCTCACACAACCGAGCGCAGGTTACCTACCCCACGCTACCGCTCCACCCACCGCACACCACGACGCTTAGCGTTGTTGCCGTGTCACCGCCTCGCTCTCACCGCACATCGCCCCACGCCGCGCCACCGGGTCCGCTGGTCGCGCAGTGCACGTGCAGTTCGGACCGCCGTCCGCCATGCCATTTATGGCACTATGGCGCATGGGACACGCCGACCGAGCGCAGTTGCCGATTAGTGCCGGGTGTGGGCCGTCCAGTTGCGCCAACCAGATCGCGCCAAGGTGCACTCGCCACCTACCAACCGCGTCCTCATCACCTCCCGCCTCTCATTCTTCCCCCGCCACCTCTGCTTCGCCGTCCACATCATGACCACGGTGAGCCAAGGCGAGGCACTTGCCTTCAATTTCGCGTGCCGTGTATGCGCATTGATGTCCGCATGCCAACCGTCCCCACCCCGCCTTTGAATCGAGCCAACGACAAACTCCAATTTGAGTTTCCCTCTGCAAATGCCATTAAGGCCGGACCGGCCCGTACCAAGGGCAACCACCCACCGCTTCCACCCTCGTCAATCGATCTACACCACGAACTCGTCTCCACCACCACTTCACCCCACGCACCTCACTTGCACCTCTACTACCTCGCCAGAGCTAATCGACGTGGGCGCGCCATCTTAGAGCGCCACCACATCCCACCACCCAAGACGTGGCCAACCTCGTCAGGGAACCTCCGCCAAACCACCACCGCAGTATGCAACTGTGGTAAGATAGTGATGCTATAACGCTTAGCTAGTTTACCCCGCTGGTGGGTTAGGTGGCCCGGCATGGCCGCCGCCAATCATCACACGCATGGGCGCACGCCGGGTCACCACTTTCGTGAACTCCACCGCTCTAGTAACCCAGGCCATTGTAGACGCTTAGGTTGTAGATGGGGGTTGGCTCAGAAGTGGAGCCAGCAGGGTCCCAAATTTCGCCGACGTGACCATCCAATGCCATCATCGCTGCGTGTTTAAGACGCTGCTGGTGGCCGAGGACCACGCCACGTAAAGGAGCGAAGTTTCCGAAGGTTTCATTGCATAGTTGTTCTCTCTAGGAATAGTGACAAGGATCATGCAAGTTAATTTGACCTGAGTTTAGGGGCGTTTTGCATATGTGTCACAAGCATGGGCCTCCCCATTGTGGGCATGCCTAGGTTGGGCCACGTCCCGTGTGGGCTGTAAGTGGGTGGGTGGGCCGTGGATGGAATTTGTTTTCCTTTTTCTTAAGGAATTACAAATAGCTTTATATTTTAATTTTGAGCTAAACTTTGAAAATTAATATCAATTTGCATAGGTGTCCAAAAATTATGAAACTAATTTTGTTAGGTTTCTAAAATTATGCTCTATCTGTTAGTATATTTAGTTCATATATATTTGTTGACACCAAATGCTATTAAATCATTTGTGAGTGTTTAGTATTATTTAGGTTAGTATTTATAGGAATTTTTGTGGCAAAATCGGTAATTGCTTTGACCATAAAATTTTTTACAGATGATTCATTGTATTATTATGTGTTTACTGTAATTTTGTAGCCTTAGAATCGGTTGAGAAATATGGTAGTTAAGTATTCCTTGTTGTAGTATATAGGGAATCTTTAATAAGAGTAAGAATATATTTTAGTTGCTAAGTAGCACTTGTAGGTGAAGCCCTGCTGGTTTGATGGGAATGATGATTAGCTTCGGTATCTTGGTCATTAGAGCTAGCTTAGTGGCTTAGTAGATGTATTCTTATTTTAAGAACTATTGTTGCCTTAATATTGAGCGTTGCATCGCTCATTGCATGTATGTAGAAAACGAGTTGGTGGAGTTCGTGATCGAGGGCGGCAGAGTACTGAGAGGTGATTAAAGAGTACGAGGAGGAGGTCCTCATGCTTGAGGAGGTCCCGAGCCGCCACGGACTAATCGAGGCCGACACTGCTACCGCGCCAAGGCAAGCCTAGGTGAATAGCCCTTATTTTCACTAATCACCGAAATATATATTTGATGTGCAATTACGTTACATGATTTATATTGAAACTACATGCATAGATATATCTACCTATGAGTCCTACTAGCTTAGATCGAGTAGTCGCTATGCTTAGGTTTTTTTTAGCGTGAGTAACCCGCCGTTACTTACAATAGGTGATTATTATCACTCTCATGATAAAATGGTGAAAAGAAATGGAGACCGAGCAGGGATATGGTATGTGTATTGGTAGGTGTAAGAGGTTGTGTCCCACGGCCAACGGGACATAGCTTGGTTACACTGCTTTTTCTGGTCTGTGTTTGCTAAGGACCTACCGTTGCATTAGATTCTAGTAAGATCACGCACTTATTATTCCGAGCACATACTTATTTATGGGAGCAGAGAAGGCTCGTTGCTCTCTTGTCGTGGGTTCCGGCTCTTTCTGAATTGATGGATTGGAGGTGGGGATGGTGAAGGTCTAAGCACCACACCGGTCCTAACTCGTGTGTAGGGGCTTGAGTTCAAGTTTAGACGGGAACCTAGACCCCTTGACATGAGAGTGATGGGTTGGTCCTGCTTGTGCCTAGGGTACAAGCGGGGTGTGTGTTTCAGGGTACCCAACTAGGCACATTGATTCACGAATCACCGAATAATCTGGTATGACTTGTCTACGATCTAGCACCGTAGTAAGAACTGGAAGATGAAAGATCATGAAATAGATCTGATTGCTCAACTCTTGCTTGAAAGTAGAACATGTGCTTACATAGAATGATTAGCTAATGAACTAATCATGACTGCTAATAAAACACATGCATAAGGATTCACTACTAGTATCATTTTTGCAAAAAGAAAATCTATCAAACCATAAAACTTATCATATCCTTTAGAGTCGGGAAAGTATTCACACTAGTCGGGTAAGTCTTGCGAGTACATTGTGGACTCATGGTTTATTTACTCCCGTTGCAGGTGCGTACTTGAGGAGTAGTCATTTGTTGTGTGGAGGATTCTTTTGGTGGACACAGATTTGGATCCTTGTATCTTATCGTTAGATATTTATTGTAATTCACTGCTTAAATTCCTTGACTCAACTTTGTATTGTAATAATGTATTTCTAAGAACTCTTGTTGTATGAAATAGACTAAGTATTGTAAACTCGTTCTCATTATTGGATCCTCGGAGGAAAACGTTGATTATTCGAGTTCTTCTTTGAGTGTGCTCGACTTTAATCCGTCCGATGTAGCTTACTTTCAGGGTGCTTAGCGTCTGGTGGAAGACGAACGCCTCCAAAGATGTGTTATTTTGGACGATTCTATCACACTTGTTAGCATTATTTCCAAGGCCTTGGGAAGGTGATGAAATTCGCACTAAGGTTGATTGTTTCATCTCTTTCATCTCGTATGCCAACTACGAAGAAAGCGCGCTAACTACGATGAAAGCATGGCCGCTATTTTCATTTGCAATATTTATTTACCATGTGAAATTTCAAACACAAGAAGTCGCCTAGTATGGTAAAATATATCTATTTGTCAATATGACCCAATTGTAATAATATGCTAATGCTTATAATAATATCAAAATGACCATAGAGTTTGTATAGTATATTTTTTATGACGACACAATGAAAAAAATTGAATATTGTAGCTAACCAAATTCTATATTATTATTTTTTTCAAAATCATTACTCCCTCTATCCAGAAAGAATATCGTATATGGGGTTCGTGTTAGTCATTTTTTAAGTTTCAGGTATCTAGAAAATATTAGCAATATTTATATATCTAAATATGTTTATTATGAAAATATATCCAGTGATTCATCTGATGATGATGTATCATAAATATTAATATTATATATATAATTGATCAAATTTAAAAATATTTAATTTAATTTTCCGAAAAAATAAGAATGACACTCGTTATAGGATGTATGAGAAACTTACTCGATGTAAAGGGTCTGCTTAGTTCGCTCTAAAGTATGCCAAGCCAAAATTTTGGCTGGTCATGATTTTCGCATTTATTTGATTTGCTATCAAAACTTAAAATCTCTTATATTTGGCTTGTCAAATTTATAGTAACATTTTGTCTGGCTTTAGCTTATTTGATAAATGCTCTGTTTGTTTGGGCTGGTTTGACTTATAAGCTATGGCTGAAGGTACTGTTGGCTGATTTGGTGTAAGAGAAAAATACTATCCGTTGGCTGATAAGGCATGTCTTATAAACCAAATACGATAAAACGAACGGGCTAAAACTTGAATTGCAAAAAAAAAGCAGGTCGAGATTCTGATGAAACTAGCCCTACCGTTACCCTTACCCTTACCTATCAGGGAAGGTTAAACACAGTGTATCGAAAATACAGAAGTGTGGTGGTCCACCTGCCGCTGCAGTTGCCCCCTGCAGACTCACAGCTAAGCATTAACCCAATCCAAACCCGTAGGCCCTACATGTCAGCTGGGCCATGCTCCTCAATCTGTTACTCTGAGTTCTACTGCCCTAGGCCAACCAGATAGAGAGAGAAAAGCACTGTAGATCATTGATGTGACCTTTCAGACGCTCATTGTCCTTCTCCCCATCTCTCTCATCATATGAAACCACTCTCTACGCTCTTTTTTCTTGTTTACCGTACGTGGCTTATAAATCAGCTCATGCTATTAAAAAGCTGATAATTATGGAGCGCGAGAACCCACGAAACCAACCAAGAGCTCCGCCCCATTAAGGCAGGCAGGCAGAGGAGGCAGGCTCGCTGCAGCACGCTTCGCGCTCCATCGTCGCTGTCCTCTCCCTGTAATGTCACTCCCCGATGCCTGTCCGCAGCTCAGTGGCCATGACGACGACGGCCCCGCCCGTGCTCTCGTCGCCCTCCTCCTCGTCGCCGTCGCCGTCGCCGACGATGGTTGGTGATCTGTTTCTTTTTTCTATATCCATTTCTCTTTATTTCTTTCTTCTCTGGGAGGAGCCCTCTGGTTGCCTACTGGGGAGCAAAGATTCAGGGGGTTGGGTTTGTTAGGATTGGTATTTTATTAGCGCTGCAAGTACGCGCTTTTGGAGGCATGGTGATTCGCTAGTGTTCCATTCCCATTTTTTTATAGCCCTATAAGCCCGTAACCCGAGTGTAACACACTTAACTAATCCTTGTGAGTTGTGCCTCTTCTCATCTCATCTTCTATTCTTCTCTTCTTCCATGCCTACGAGTTTTTATAACTAGTCTGCCCATGTTTCAAAATGTGATCTTTTTTTTCTCTCTTCATGTTCTGTTTTGTTTTTTTACATGTGCCTTCTTGTGCTGCTTATTGGAGCAAATGCTCAGAACATTCTTGTTTCTTTATTTGTCCCTTCAGTGTTGGAAGCTTGGTCTCTTTTGTTTAGTCTGTTCTATTCTTGTGTGTTTTAGCTGTGTTTGGTTTGCTATTCTGGAGTATGATCCTATTTCCTATCTGAATGAATCCAAGTAACTTCATATTTCACTATCGTGTCATATTTGGGCTTTCCAAATCTGACGTTCCCGGTTCCTTTGCTTTCCTGCCTGAAAACAACAGTGAGAATCCAACTATCTTGTTTATCCGACTCCCTTTCTGCTGATATTCCATTTGCCGAATCGTCTGTTCAGATTTCTACCAGTCTGTAATCTGTTCTGTGTCTCCATTTTTTTTCTGCTAATGCGGCTAGTTCTGCATCTTCCAGGGGCGACGCTGGTGGAGATCAAGAAGTCCTTCCGCAACGTCGGCAACGTACTGTACGATTGGGCCGGCGACGACTACTGCTCCTGGCGCGGCGTCCTGTGCGACAACGTCACATTCGCCGTCGCTGCGCTGTAAGAAGAGCGTCCATTAAACTTTGCTCCTTTCCCAACGATTGCGATGTGTAGCCACTGATGCGGGTTGGCGCCAATGCAATGCAGCAACCTCTCTGGCCTCAACCTTGAGGGCGAGATCTCTCCAGCCGTCGGCAGCCTCAAGAGCCTCGTCTCCATGTACGGATGATTTCTTGTTTGTCCAAACAACTGCTGTTGATTAGATTTTACTTTCCTGACCTGTGTTAACTGGTCTCCTTTGCATTCACATTCAGCGATCTGAAGTCAAATGGGCTATCCGGGCAGATCCCTGATGAGATTGGCGATTGTTCATCACTTAAGACTCTGTAAGTTGAACTTCGAGTAATCCATGTTTAGTTGTGGTTGTGGTGGTAGTGCTTTTATTCAAACTTTGCCTTTTCCTTTAGGGACTTTTCTTTCAACAACCTGGATGGCGACATACCATTTTCTATATCAAAGCTGAAGCACCTGGAGAACTTGTGAGGCTTCTTCCCTCTGAAATCCATAGAAATACACGTCATTTGGGGATTTTGAAGTTTTTACAGATTTTGTGGTGCTGTTTGTGATTTCTAGGATATTGAAGAACAACCAGCTGATTGGTGCTATCCCATCAACATTGTCACAGCTCCCAAATTTGAAGATTTTGTAAGCTACTACTGCTACATGATTCTTATAAGGTGGATCAACTAGGATGGTTCAGAATTTCTAATGTGATGCGCACTCCAGGGATTTGGCACAAAACAAACTGACTGGGGAGATACCAAGGCTTATCTACTGGAATGAGGTTCTTCAATATCTGTAAGTCATCCTTGAGGTTCAAAAAGTTTGTACTAGTGCTGGACTGCTGGTACTGTACATACATTGCTACTATATATTTAAGGGCCTGGCTGCTCAGTAAAAGCTGGGCAGCATTATTAAGTCTTTATGGTTTGATATATTCTTGTGAAATGGCATTCAAACACATAAGTTGTTACTGAAACATCAAGTAATTTCTCCTAAGTTTTGTGGCTAAATTAGTAACTATAATTACTAGGGGCTTGCAGGGGCAATCATTTAGAAGGAAGCCTCTCTCCTGATATGTGCCAGCTGACTGGCCTTTGGTACTTGTAAGTACACTGCTTGTCTAGTTTGCTGCAAGTTTTTTTTTTTTCGTTTCAATCTGGTTTTAAGCTTCCCACTAATTTGATCAGTGATGTGAAGAACAATAGCTTGACTGGGGTGATACCAGACACCATTGGGAATTGTACAAGTTTTCAGGTCTTGTACGTATATGCATTCTTGCCACTCCTGAAATAATTGATTTAACTTTTCATATATATCATTTTTCCTAACATTTTATATTGGTAGGGATTTGTCTTACAACCGCTTTACTGGACCAATCCCATTCAACATTGGTTTCCTACAAGTGGCTACACTGTATGTGCTGTTTGCCTGTTTCTTTTCACTGAAAATGATGTAATTACATGCCTAATATATATAAGCTTACCTGCAAAGCTGCATGTACCCTTTATTAGATCCTTGCAAGGGAACATGTTCACCGGTCCAATTCCTTCAGTAATTGGTCTTATGCAGGCTCTCGCTGTTCTGTAAGTCCTACAGTGAATTCTACAGTTACTAGATAGTTGACTAATCTACAAATGAGACATTGCTTTCTCATTGCTGGTAGTGAAAGAAATATGTTTGCTAATTCATGGAACTTTTACTCTATCAGAGATCTGAGTTACAACCAATTATCTGGTCCTATACCATCTATACTAGGCAACTTGACATATACTGAGAAGCTGTAAGAATTCTTATCCCCCTAAATCTGGTTCATAGATTTTCAAGATTTTAGTTTGAACTGATACACTTCACCCCTAGAAAAAGTTTGATCTGAACATATTTCTAAGTTTGTCTTTATACATGTTAAAACTTCATAGGTACATCCAAGGTAATAGGTTAACTGGGTCGATACCACCAGAGTTAGGAAATATGTCAACACTTCATTACCTGTAAGTTTTAGTATTCCTTCTGTTATGGATATCAAGATTCAGGTTGACCATTAATCTATCTTTGATATAACTATCTAAATTCAGAGAACTGAACGATAATCAACTTGTTGGGTCAATTCCACCAGAGCTTGGAAGGCTAACAGGCTTGTTTGACCTGTAAGTACTTTTCAGGCACCCTCTTATTACTTGTCACGTGAACCAGTGTTTTCTTGTTCTCCAGAAAACTACATTGCATGAACATCGCTGATTCTACTTATATCGCAGGAACCTTGCGAATAACCACCTTGAAGGACCAATTCCTGACAACCTAAGTTCATGTGTGAATCTCAATAGCTTGTAAGCACAAATTATTTCTGAAAATTTGCAGCTCATGTGCAATGTTGCAAGTATCTATATAACATGCTAATTTTATTTAACAGCAATGCTTATGGCAACAAGTTAAATGGGACCATTCCTTGTTCGTTGCAGAAACTTGAAAGCATGACCTATTTGTAAGTTCCAATAAATTTTGAGCCTCATGCTGTGCTAAATTGAGTTGAACACATTTCCATTTTTTTGTACTGATATGCTGTTTTGCTCATATTGATTTGTAACTCACATTCAACCGCTTTCCTTTGTTTCTTCAGAAATCTGTCATCAAATTTCATAAGTGGATCTATTCCTATTGAGCTATCAAGGATCAACAATTTGGACACGTTGTAAGCCTTCATCAGCTCATATGTATTAAGAGTATCCATTTCATGCTAATGCTATATATAACATAGATATATGTACCAGGGACTTATCCTGTAACATGATGACTGGTCCAATTCCATCATCCATTGGCAGCCTAGAGCATCTATTGAGGCTGTAAGTTTTTTGGGCTACGGTTTCTTGGTATGTTTCCTGCTTCATATCCTGACATTGAACATGTTTCTCTAGTAACTTGAGCAAGAATGGTCTAGTTGGATTTATCCCTGCGGAGTTTGGTAATTTGAGGAGTGTCATGGAGATGTAAGTACTTGACCTTATTTATGTGAATCCTTTTATTGAATATTCCTTGCATTATATTTTTAATGACTTGACTGTTGTTTCTAGTGATTTATCCTATAATCACCTTGGTGGCCTGATTCCTCAAGAACTTGGAATGCTGCAAAACCTGATGTTGTTGTAAGTTATATCCTAGTTTTTTAGTCTGGAAGTTTAGTTTTTCAAGTGCAGCTTTGTTCTGAATCATCATTTACTCTTGTAGAAAACTGGAAAATAACAATATAACTGGCGATGTGTCTTCTCTGATGAACTGCTTCAGCCTCAATATCTTGTAATTTCATAACCTGAATATTGGAAGGATGCACAAAATTTTGTATTTTTCTAACATTTTTTTTTGAAGTAAGTATTTTCTCTAACATTGACCTTTTGCATCTTTGGACAGAAATGTGTCATACAATAATTTGGCTGGTGTTGTCCCTGCTGACAACAACTTCACACGGTTTTCACCTGACAGGTATTGTGCTCCATGAATTCAATCATGACTATCTTTTTGCTTATACTTGGAAATAGTAGTTTAGCGATCTTGTTATTTCTTCAGCTTTTTAGGTAATCCTGGACTCTGTGGATATTGGCTTGGTTCTTCGTGTCGTTCCACTGGCCACCGCGAGAAACGTAAGAAGAGTGCTGCATTCATCAATTTATTTGACCTGAATTTTATGAGTACATTATAAACCAAGATCTTTTCTTCCTGGATTTTCTATTCAGCGCCAATCTCAAAGGTTGCCATAATTGGTGTTGCTGTGGGTGGACTTGTTATCCTCCTGATGATCTTAGTGGCTGTTTGCAGGCCACACCGTCCACCTGCTTTTAAAGATGTCACTGTAAGCAAGCAAGGTAATGCATTTACTAACTTTGGAATCTCCTCTTACAATAATATGATGGTCCACCACCTTATTTAGTATCTTATCTTACTTGTAATGTTGATGTACTAATAGTTTTTGTCAAATAATAGTATTGTCTGGATTCAACTTAGTAGTTTACTGGTCTCTAATAGTTGATGCTAGAACAACATTGATATCCTTTAATTGATATCCATTCTGTTTGCAGTGAGCAATGCTCCCCCCAAGCTGGTGATCCTTCATATGAACATGGCCCTTCATGTATACGATGATATAATGAGGATGACTGAGAACTTGAGTGAGAAATACATCATTGGATACGGGGCGTCAAGTACAGTTTATAAATGTGTTCTAAAGAATTGCAAACCAGTGGCAATAAAAAGCTGTATGCCCACTACCCGCACAGCCTTAAGGAATTTGAAACTGAGCTCGAGACTGTTGGTAGCATCAAGCACCGGAATCTAGTCAGCCTTCAAGGGTACTCACTATCACCTGTTGGCAACCTCCTCTTTTATGATTATATGGAAAGTGGCAGCTTATGGGATGTTTTACATGGTAAGTCCAGGTCCCAAACCCATGCAGACATTTTTTTTGTGGTTAAGGAATCATGAGAACTGTTTATAAAGCGACCAGGAACTAGCACCACTATGCTGCTTTTCATTTCAATCGCTTCTCTTATAATCTGTACTTTTTAGCTTGTTTTTTCAGCCGGAACAGTGTTTTTCACTCACAACAAATCAGCCGGAACAGTGTTTGTTTGTTTACCTGTCACACAACATCAGTTGGCCTCTCAAGACAGTTCATGTTTTGACAAAGGCTTGCTTATTTAATGGTCATGGATATTTGGCTGCAATTACTATACCATTTTATAATGTAAACCTATTTTCTTTCAGAAGGTTCATCCAAGAAGAAAAAACTTGACTGGGAGACTCGCCTACGGATTGCTCTTGGTGCAGCTCAAGGCCTTGCTTACCTTCACCATGACTGCAGTCCACGAATAATTCACCGGGATGTAAAATCAAAGAATATACTCCTTGACAACGATTATGAGGCCCATCTTACAGACTTTGGCATTGCTAAGAGCTTATGTGTCTCAAAACTCACACATCAACCTATGTCATGGGCACTATTGGCTACATTGATCCTGAGTACGCCCGCACTTCCCGTCTCAACGAAAAGTCTGATGTCTACAGCTATGGCATTGTTCTGTTGGAGCTGCTGACTGGCAAGAAGCCAGTGGACAACGAGTGCAATCTCCATCACTTGGTAACTAATCTTCAGTCTCCTGCATTTGTTCAATTAGAAGTCGCTTTCCTTCATCTTATATCGCTTTGGATTCCAATAGTGCCCAATAATTGCTGAACAATGACCATTAGGCTTAGCATGTGAGTAGATCTATCTGCACTGTAGACCAGCTGTGGACTTATGAGCTGATCCATTGGATTTGGTGACTGAAAGCTCCATTATAAGTAGCTGTGTGTCTGTCCCCTAAAGCCTACCGTTGGTGTCCCCCTGTCATAAATAATGTAGATGGAAAGCAAAAAATGAACTAACAGGATGTCAGTGGTTTATCATGTGCCCCATAGCTCTCCATGCTTTGATGTAACATTTTAAGTCACCTCAGTTTCAAACATGGCTCAAAATTGACAGTAGGTATGTGCAACAGTGTGATAAATTAGGAGTCATTTTGTAGTTCCAGAATCGATCCATTTATAAAATCATAACATGCGCTGCTGCTGCTGCTACTGCTACTTGTTTGGAAGGAACTTTTTCCATATATTGAGCTTGTCTGGGAGAAACTTTTTCCATATGTCGTTGTCAATGTTTTCTCCAATTGCAGATCCTATCGAAGACAGCAAGCAACGAGGTCATGGATACCGTGGACCCTGACATCGGAGACACCTGCAAGGACCTCGGCGAGGTGAAGAAGCTCTTCCAGCTGGCGCTCCTTTGCACCAAGCGGCAACCCTCGGACCGACCGACGATGCACGAGGTGGTGCGCGTCCTGGACTGCCTGGCGAACACCGATCTGCCGCCAAAGCCGTCCGCGCATCAGCTGGGCCAGCTGCCGCAGCCGTCTCCAGCTGTACCAAGCTACATCAACGAGTACGTCAGCCTGCGGGCACTGCCGCTCTCTCCTGCGCCAACTCGTCCAGCACCTCAGACGCCGAGCTGTTCCTCAAGTTCGGCGAGGCCATCTCGCAGAACATGGAGTAGGGAAGAGGTCTGGGAGACTGGGGGAGTCTTGAGGCGTCTGAAGAGTGAAGCCGATGCAGGGAGTAGTGGGAGTAGTTGACTGACATTTTGTGGGATGTAGGAGATTAACGACTCGGTAGGGTGTTGTTAACTGTAAAAGTCATGTGCCTCTAGAGCAGAGCTGTTTTATCCCCTCATTTTTCTTTTGTCTAAGGGTGCGTTTGGATCTCATGGGGCTAATTTTTTAGCACCTTGATGCTATTTAGGAGTATTATAAACGAAGACTAATGACGAAATGAATTGCATAACCCTTAGGCTAATTTGTGAGACTAATCTAATGAGCCTAATTAATCCATGATTAGCCCTTGTGATGATGTAGTAAACATGTGCTAATTATGGATTAATTAGGTTTATTAGATTCGGCTCGTGAATTAGCTCTTGGCTTCTGCAATTAGTTTTATAATTAGTTCATGTTTATAGTTCTCTTACTTGGCATCTAAACATCCTCTGCGATTGGGCCCTAACAACTTTTTATGAGGCTGTATTAATCGTCTCGCAGTATGAGGCTGTATTGATCGTCTCTCGCAGTCTCTTGTGTCTGCCGTGTTGGAATCATGGGAGGTGACTCTCATGATCTGCATATAGCCACTAGCTCCTGGTTTTTACTGACCTCTGTAACCGTTGAACTTGAGGCGAGCGAAGAGCAGAGCAGCCATGATTTTCCGGGATCTCTTCATCCGAGCCGTACGTCTGCCCGGCTGCCGCTGCCATTCCGTGGCCCCCGGGCACCTGGAGAGCGGCATGTGCTCGTGTTGTGCGGATGTCGCCGAGCCCATGGACGGACGCACCGGGCCGTAGCGTGTCAGGGAGGCGTCGTAAATGATGCGAGGGAGGGGCAGCGCAGGATGCTTGCTGGGGCCGAGCGTGGTGGTGACTGATTGATGCGTGGGCCAAGGACGAGGAGGATGGGGGGGATGGGGCGGTGCAGCGGCAGCGCAACGCGATCCTCGTGAACCCGAGGACGGACGGGAACGGGACGAGGAGCTCGCCCGGCCGTGGCTCTGGCCTCTGGGGTACTGTGGTAGGACAGGCTGGGAGATGGTAGCGCACAGGAAACCGTCGGCAGTGCCAAGATCATGCCACTCTGTGCCCTGTTCGTTTTGGGCTTATAAAGCGTATTTTTTCACCAACTAACGAAGATTTTTCTCATAACAAATCAAATTAAAAAGATTTTCACCACGACTTATCGTACCAAACGAATAAGACTCTGGTTTGCTTTCACGGCCAGGAGCCAGGATTTGACATAGGGGGCCGTTCATACCGACAACCAATGATCATGTGTGAGAAGATATATACACGTCCAAAATATATATACAATAGTGAAGCTAGAAATTTTTACATGCTCAAACAAATCTTATTATGTAGAAATATTTGTCTAAAATTTCTTAGTGTTTCTCTTTTATACAATTAAAAAACCCCTTTGCACTTCACTGAAGAGCCCGACGGCTACCCGAGATCGCTAAGCGGTGGTTTAGCCAGAGTATACAAATGACAACCAAATAAATGGTTGTGTTACGATACAAAAGAAAGAATAAAATTAATTAGCCCTAGGTCTTTAACGTTCACTCGATCAATCTAATTTTTAGACTAGAAGAAAGGATCACAGTAATAACATGAACAAAGAAAATAAGAAGGATAATAGGAAGACTAATTCTAAATAATATAAATGCTATTAGCGTTCAATTTAGAGGCGGAGTAAACAAGAAAACACTAATTACATTTAGAAAACTAATAAGAGAGTATACTGTGAGGACGAACTAGATGTTTGATAGAAAAATAATAAATAAAAGGAATAAAAGAGATGAAGAAAATAATAAAAAAAAAGTCAATTTTAATTATATAAGATGCTATTAGAGAAGAAATTTTGAATAAAAATAACATCATTAACTAGTTATTGGTCCATTAAGTAGCTAATTAATGGAGTGTATTAATGGGGGCATGAAATGTTAGGGGGTGTCGGGCACACACCCACCCACTGGAAGTAGTGTCTGTGTCTCACCATGCCCAACGAATGAGTCACCCACACACACATCAGGGTGAGTGTTGGGTTTCGATTCGGTTCTCTCGGTTATTGATGAAATTCGGTTTCTAGAAAACGGAAACCGATCGGTTCCAAAAAAAAAAATTAGGAACCAAGCATTTCGGTTCTCGGTTATTTCGGTTTGGTTCCGATTTTAACCGAACTAACTGAATTTTTTCAGAAGACCTCAAGACAATAATAAATATACTTGTTCTAAGACAAATTTATGCAACACTATATTCATTTTTAATAATAATAATATATAAGAAAACAATAGCAATATAGTAACACAAATATATAGCAGTTCAAATATAAACACACTACACATAAACCAAACATAATCCTATAAAATACAAGTAAGTGAAGTATAATTCATATAATTTGGTTTTTTCGGTTAATTCAGTTAACTGAGAGTAGGAACCGAATTTTCTTCGGTTATTTCGGTTTCTCAATATGAGGAACCGAATTTTTCGGTTCCGGTTCTTTCGATTTCGGTTCCGATTTTTTCGGTTCGATTTTCGATTCTCGGTAAAATTTGTCCGGGGCTACGCACACACCCACTGGAAGTAGTGTCTGTGTCTCACCACACCCAACGAATGAGTCACCCGGGCTACGGGGCCCTTGTCGTCGTCTTCCTCCACCGTTGCCAATGGGCTGGCGCCGTCTTTCATGTCGCCGGCCGGCGCTGACGACTGGATACATCCACCACGCCAGACGCTACCTTGTGATGCCGTCGACCACCCCTTTTGTGGGTGGTGTCATCTCTATCCGTTCGGCCGTCCCTAATAATCGCTCAAGGCCTCCGGCTACCACGCCTCCAGTCCACTAGACCACCGCTACTGCTCTCCCTGCGACCCCACCCTTCTTCCCCTTTCTCAATCATCAATGAAAAACGTTTACATGGGCTAAATTCTGCTTGTGCACACCCTTCAACAATGCAGCCAGCCTGGGTGCTTTTTTGCGGAAACCGTCCGTCGGCGCCGACCGGTCGGCGTGCCGACCACCTGATCCCGGCCCCGCGCGATTTTGGCCCATGCGCGATTTCAGCAGGATTCGTTCAGCGCGCGGCCCACGGCCCACCCGCCAGCGCATTCGTTCAGCTTTTTGCGGTCACCGTACGAACGACGATGAGCGCATTGCTTCAGGCTTCAGCGCATTCGTTTCCCACGTCGTATGCGTTCCAGGTTGGTGATTTTCTGTGATGTTTTATTCTTATTTTTATTTTATTTTTTTTATATATTTTTATTTTAATATAATTCATTATTTTTCTATATCTTTTGCTGCTGTTAGCTGCGTGATGTAGTTCTGCTACTTTTTAATTCTTTGATTTGATTTTATTTTTTTCATTTATTTTTTCTTTTATTTATTCATGTTTTCTTTCCTTGATTCAATTTTTTTCTTTTCTTGTCTTTTATTTTTTTTTCTTATCTCTTTTATCATTTATATCTTCCTGTATTTAATTTTCATATAATTAATTATTTTTATTTACTTCATTTTTCATCTTCTTATTTTTTTATTTTTCTTTATTTTCTTCTCTTTCTTTTTTCTTCCACTTTTCTTTTTTGTTTTTGGTGAATTCTCTTATTTTTATTTTGTTTTTATTTTTTTCTCCTTTTTAATTTTACTATAATTGTTTCTTATTTATTTTTACTTTTTTATTTAAATTTTATGATGTTCACGTAGCATATATGTGATGATCCGTGATATATTTTTGTATACTCACACTATGTATAAGAGATGTTTCATTGTGTATTATGGGGTGTTCATGTAGTTCCATAATATTTTGATTATATTTAACTTATTCATTTGTTCTCTTCTTTATTTAATCTAATTAACTATTTTAAGTATGTTATTTCTTTTCATTTTCATGTTTTTTTATTTCTTATATTTCTTATTATATATCTGATGTTCATGTAGTCTACATGGTATGTTCTATGGTGTACTACATGTTGTTCACATAGTATAAATGTGGTGTTCACTTTGTTTTTCTCTTTTTAGTAGATTTTTTAATTATTTTCTCCTATATTTGATTTAATATTTTATTAACTAATTCTCTTCCTAGTAATTTAATTATATATGTTTTATAGCATTTTTTATTCTTTTTATTTCACTTTTTTCTTCTTCTTTATTTTACTCTAAATAATTATTATGATTATTCATTCTCTTTGTTTTTAGTTTTTTATTTTCTATAATCATGTGATGTTCATGTAAGATATGCTGATGTTCTTTGTTCTAGATGTTTCTTGTGATGTTCGTAGAATATAAATACGATGTTCACGTTATATACATGTGATGTTCTAGGTGTATTTTGTGATGTTCGATTAGTATAGTTTAGTATAAATTGGATGTTCCACGATTATCATTTGAGTATTCACGTAGTCCTTGCGAGATGTTCTGTGTATATTTTAGGTTGTTTTAGTAGTGCCCACGTGATGTTCTACAATGTTGTTTGTGATGTTCACTTAGTATAAACGAAATGTTCCACCATTATGTTTTTATATTCTCGTATACTCGTGAGATGTTCTATGTATATTTTAGATTGTTCTAGTAGTATCCATGTGATGTTCTATGTGTTTTTTATTACGTTCTTTTTTATGTGATGTTCTTTTTTATTTTCCTCTATTACATGTTTTTCTTTTTATTATTTTTATTTTCTTCATATGTCTTGGTTTGATGTTCACGCAATATATATGTGATGTTCTATGATGTTTTTTTATGACGTTCACATAATAGAAATGGGATATTCTATGATTATATTTGAATATTCATGTATACTCGTGGCATGTTCTATGTATATTTTGGGTTGTTCTGGTAGTATCCATGTGATGTTCTATGTGTTTTTTATTATTTTTAATACGTTGTTCCATATTATATTTTTTCTTTCACTATTTATCTTTAATTATTATTTCCTTTTTTTATTTTATTTCCATCGTTACGTGACTTTTCCGGCCTGTGTTGTTTTCCCTGTTACGTAGTTTTTCCCAATATTTTTTTACATCAGACCTAAATGGTTTTATAAT